AATATATTGTTGGGCCTGGGCCTATAATTAAATAGAGAAAAAAAAAATCATAGGCCAAATGGGCAATAGCCCAGTCGGCCACTTCCTCCCATTATTATTCCTTCCCTCCCAATCCAATTAATGGCCCAATCCCCAAATTAATGGCCAATTGCCATTTCCCTGTCCGTATCCCAAGCCCCAGCGACCCATCCCCATTATTCCCCCTGTTCCCTCTTCTCTCGCTCGCAAGTCGCAAAAAATATAATCCCCTACTCCCCCGTAGCACCCCTCATCAGCCTACAAACTTGCATTACTATCAAGTCGATTTATTCTATGCAGTTATAGATTTGCAGTTGCAAGAATTGAATACTCGATTTGGTGAGGTGAACACTCGATTGTTGGACTGCATTTCTTGTTTTAGTCCAGGTAACTCTTTTGCTTCTTTTGATAAAGCAAAGTTGATGAGTCTTACTGAGTTTCATCCCGAGGAGTTTCCATCCAATGTGCTCTCACGACTTCATCAACAATTGGGGGGCTACATTTCTCATGTCAAGGAGGATAAGAGCTTTGATGGATTGCGAGGAATCGACGAGCTAGCTAGGAAATTGGTGGAAAGGGGAAAGGACACTCTTTATCCTTTAGTTTACTTGCTGTTAAAGTTGGTGTTGACCTTACCTGTGGCAACTGCAAGCTGTGAAAGAGCATTTTCAGCTATGAAGATAATCAAGAACGATCTTCGAAATCGGTTGAGTGACCAATTTATGAATGATTGTTTAGTTGTGTATATTGAAAAAGATTTGCTTTGCAGCATAAGTGATGAATGTATTTTAGAGACATTTCAGCAGATGAAAAGTCGTTGCGGTTCGTTGTAAACATGACATTGTGAACTTTATGAATTAATTTCTTTTAATTTTTACTTAATTTTTAATTTAATTTAATTATTATTATATTTTATCGGCGACACACCTCTCCGACAATCCTGGGTCCGCCACTGAATATCGTACCGACGGTTCGATAAGAAAAACCTTTTACCGGAGGCTAAACTGATAGGTGGTATTTAGCGGTTGAACCATGGTTAAACCACAGTTTTAGCATAAAATACCCTACCAAGTACCAATGACTTTTCTTGTAGAACATCTGGTACAGTATTCCAATCCTTGAGTCAATTTGTACCAATAATAGATAAATTAAGAGTTAATTAAGTTCTAATCATGTTTATTAATCAATTTCACTAATTTAATTAATCTAATTAATTACCTTCTCCATGCCCTTGTAGAAGCTGAAGTGAGGCACCTCCTCGATCTTCTCCCTCACGAAGATCTCCCGCGTCTTCTCCGACTCATCCTCCAGCACGAGGAGGAAAACGACGTCGTTGCACGTGCGGCTCAGGTCGACCAAGAAAGGGTAGATCTGCTTGCTCTCCTCGTTCTTCGTGGCGGCCCATTCCACCACCACCAGCTTCTCCTTCGCCCCCTTCAGCGCCTCGTCGAACTCCGCCGCGCTGTGGATCTTCTTCACCTTCTCGTCCAGCTTCGGCTTCTTCTTCTCCGACGACGTCCCCGGCGCCGCCGTGGCTCTCGTCACGAATAGTGGTGAATTTAATTTTCTCCTGTTGTTTAGTGATGATAACGTCAGGGTTCGGGTCCTTTTAGCGAGGGTTGCGGAGGAGAGGGGTAAGAAGGCGAGAGGGCTAGCGAGTTTTGGCGGGAGCGGAGTCGGCGGTTTGGAGAGCGAGTTTGTGAGCGTAGCCATGGCCGGATGGATTTGATTAGTGAGTGCTAGTGAAGTGGCGGTGTGAGATGTTGGGGAGGAATTGTTGGGAAGGGGAGGGCAACGATTTGGAGGGAGAAGATGAAGGGATTTAGTGAGGATAATCCAATTGGGAAAAAATCTTGGGAGGGCAACAATGGCGACCACTCGTTTGGTTTTGGTGATCTTTATTATCCACAAGTGTAAAATTGTGGATGTTCCGGGCCCCGTGACAGATTTTTTTGTTGGTCTTTATAGATCTTTCCAAATTGGTGGAGGGGTTCTTCACTATGTTGCTGAATGTGCCTAAGCGCAATGTTGAGCTTCTTCCTAAAAAAAAAAAGAAGAAATTCAAATTAGTCTAGCGATATCATAATTAGTTTTTAATTGGAAAGTTTAATATTGGATCTTAGGATGAATTTTCTCTTTTCTTCCGTAAATTCAGATTAATCCTACCAATTTCGTCACTAAGAGGTCATTTGGATGAGAGATACTAACGGATCAATTGGATCTCATTGTTTTGTTTTGAGACACTTAGGCCAAAAATGATTAGTTTGATAACATATAACTCCAATGAATAAAGTAATTTGATATGGAGAATTTCAAATTAACTCGTTTTAACACAAATACGTGTAGTGAGGAGAGATAATTCATTGAAAATGAAAACAAAAAAAAAATCGTTCCCGATGCTCTCGACCGGGGCCAACAAACCCTAGGTCCCCTCTCGTCAATCTGCGATGGAGAAGGGCGCCGATTATCAAAATTGCCCAGTTTCGGGCCGATTAACTCCGTCTATGGAGCGTTCGTGTGCTTTCCCAGTGTCGGGACTCTGCTTATTCTCATCTGTGGAGGTGAATCTAATAAAAATGGTATGTTGGTTTACTGCGATAAGATCGCAGCCGCTGTGATTATCCGCTTCGGGCTTAGTTGCTCTGAATATGGATTTTATGCGTGAAGACCTTATCTCGGGGTAATGATTATCCTCAATCCTGGAGGCGAAACAAAGATTAAAGAGATTTGGGAGTATCACGAAGATCTCGCGGGGGCGGTGAAGACTCTCTTCGATGATCCTTGCGATAGGGAACCTGATGTTGGGGTGGGAATTATCCTCGATCAGGAGGAAGATCTAAATAGCCCTCTCCAAAGGATTATCGGCTTCCACCTTCTATTCCCCAGTCTCCGGTTCCCCTACGCCTCCAAACGGTCGCGCCTGCTACCTGGAGATTTCGAGTCCGCGATTTGCGAGATCATCTGCGTCACTGGATGGGTGTCTTCTGTAGATGGGAGTCAAGGAGTAGTATAAAAGGTAGGTTTCTGATCGCCTTTAGCATCCTCAGTATCCCATCATCCTGTGACTATTGGTACGCAAGAATCAGGCGAACCCAACCATTTTTCTTTAGCTACAATCGAGTTCCCCCTCTGTTAGGTTCGTTGCTTTACTCCCTAGTTAATCTAGCTGTACAACATAAGGGAATGAGCCTCTTTGCTCTATTGGGATATTCATTGTGTTTGATTTTGTTAGTTCGCCTACTTATCTATATTTGGTGCAAATCTCAGGACACTACAATGGGTTCCTCCAAGGACAATGACCAGGTGGTGGTGTTCGATGATGAAGATGTGGAAGAGAGCATGTCTCGCACGAGGCTGATTTTGATTGGGAGACTTTCATGGATAACATGCCGGTGGCGCTGCTGCAGCGTATTGTCAATAACTTGTGGAGATGCAGGTCGCCAGTGGCTGTCTTGGAAGCGGACATGGGACTACTCCAGTTCCTGTTCAATGATGAAGCGGATAGGGACCGTGTCCTGCAGAGGGCTCCCTGGATTATCAAAGACCACGTTTTAATGCTCATGGAGTGGGAGCCAGTTATGGAGGAACTCTTCCATAGGCTGGCGTGGGTTCCATTTTGGGCGCAGATGTGGGAGATTCCTCCCCAATGTTGAACTGTCAAGCTGGGACGTAGGCTGGCAGCTAAGTTGGGAGCTGAGATCGATACTGGTTTATATGGAACGCGGGGTGACTCGGGATACTTCATCAAATCACGTGTCAGAATCAATATAGAGCTGCCTCTCCAGTCCAAGCTCACTGCTAGCAACCCAAGGCTGGGAGACTTTCGAGTGGTGCTGCATTACGAGAGGCTGCCACTTTTCTGCTATAAGTGTGGCTGTATCGGGCACGGGGAGAGGGTGTTCCCCTTCCCGCGGCACCAAGGGAACGAGGTTTATGGTCCTGAATTATCTACAGATCCGCTGGGGTATAGGCTGGATGAGGTTACCCTGCTCCCGATCAAGTTAGTCTGGGTGAATCCAAATCAGCTTGACGAGGTCATGGCAGATGTCGAGCAGCTTGAACTTGCTCCAAGTATTGAGCCTCAATTTGAGGCCGAGGTAATTATCCCTCGATACTTTCAGTGTTTATGTAGTATTGAGATGCTTTCCCTGGTGCACGTTGATAACTTTAGTAGTGCTTATAAATTGCATCCAGTCAATCTAGTTGGTAATGGGATTAAGCAGTGGTCTTTTAGGTGCACCAGGATTAGTATTTGGATGCACAGTAGTGGAGTAAACCTAAATTGGGTTTGTGCTGTGGAATTGAGTCAAGTGGCAGGTCTTGGTGAACTTATAAATACTGAGCAGTTACATATAGTTGCTTCTGGCCATCCCTTGAATATGCAATGCATTTTGATCGTTTCTTTCTTTAAGTCTTTGCTTTATGGGTGGTCTGTGAAGGATAGGATCAACTTGGGACTTCATGGATCCGTTGATTTCTGTAACTATCGGGATAGAAGTGATTGGTCATATTATTTTGTTGAGTTAGCTTACTGGACTTTGTATATCAGAACCCATGAAGTGCATTATCTGTGGGGTGGATGGTCGATTGGTTTAGATAGAATGGAATGGAGAGCTAATTCTTGGTGTGCTGTTGTGGGTACTAAGCATGGAAGTTTAGTAGAATATAGTTGTGCTCTGTTGCATTCTAATTGTCGATCAAGGAGGATGCTAATTACCGTTGCTTTTGTTTTTGGGTGGCATCCTGGCAGTGTGCAACCTCCAAATCCAGATCTGCTTGGTGTTGAGGCTATCCTGAATAGGCCTGGAAACTCACACGCTAGTAGGATGAAGGAATTTATGACTGCAGGGCTTGAGGGAGAACCTGCTCGTTCTAGCGGAGCAAACCCGACCCAGATGCGAGGAGGACAGGATCCGAAAGCATGGGATAAAAGCGGACAGTAGCCTCGAAAGTACACAGCAACGGAGAAAGGTAAAGGGAAGATGCTGGAGACTGACAAGAAAGTGACGAGAGATCGTCCTAGAACCAGGCCTGCTGGGATTGTGATTCGGGAAGGGGAAACGCAACAGCAGCAACAGCAACATGACAAAGTGGTCCCTGGCCCTCGTACGAAGGCGTCGGGCAAGAACAAGTCTGGGAAGGAGTATGCTGTACGTCCCAAGCCGGGGTTCAAAATGGGAATCAGAGAGCTTGAAGAAATGCTCTTTGATAAGAAAAGAAGTAACCAGGAGATGATGACGGAAGCGGAGAGCCAGCCACTGCCACCTAAGAAATTATGCTTTGATAATGCTTCTTTGCAGGATGTTGGCTTGGAAAATGATGATTTGTTGGAGGAAGAGGCGCAAGAGGCCGAGCAGCTAGGAGATGAGGATGGTGAAGGTGATGATCCGGTGGAGGAAGCCAGCCGTGAGTGGCCCCGAGAGGATAAATGAGATTGATGTTTTGGAATTGTCGTGGAATTGGACCGGCTTCGACAATTCGGCAGTTGATAGGTTTAAAGAGTAGATTTTTTCCGGATGTTATTTGTCTTTCAGAAACAATGTCGTGTAGGAAAGTTGTTGATGGACGTATGAGGGAACTAGGATTTCTTCGTTCAGACTTGTTTTTCGTAGATGCCGCCCACTCTGCCGGTGGCCTTGCTGTAGGATGGTCCGCCGAGACTTCGGTTTCGGTTTTGTGTAGTGATTCCTTTTTTGTTGCTTTGAATTTGAATAAAGATCGTTTGGATTATGTGGTGGTTTTTGTTTACTTAAGCTGTGAGTACTCCACTAAGACGATGCAACTGCAGCGAATTGCTTCCTTTTGCTCTCATCTAAATGTCCCCTTCATGATTGCTGGTGATTTTAATGCTATTTTAGTCTCAAATGAAAAGGAAGGGTGTCGTCCATGGCGCCCGAGTCAATCTGCTAACCTTCGTGGATTTGTAGATGATTTGGGTCTTCATGAACTCCCGTTCAAGGGTCCGATTTTCACTTAGACTAATAAACGAGATCCTACCCGGATGGTTCAAGAAAGGTTGGACCGAGCCTTTGTCTCTGGGGACTGGATGTTAACTTTACCAGGATCGATAATTCATCACCTATCAGATCGGGAGTCGGACCATCGTGCCCTCTTATTCGTTGCCGAAGACGTGAGGAGACCAGGGAAATCGATGTTCAGGTTCGATGCCCGCTGGGGAGACAATCCCGAAGTCAGGACGATGACAAGGTTTGTTTGGGATATGGAGTTTGTGGGCTCTCCTATGTACTGGCTGTGGTGTAAGCTGAAGAAGCTTCGTCATTTGTTGTATGACTGGGCCAAAGGGGGCACCTCGAGCTCGGCTAGGCATATCCGCACTCTGGAGAATGAAATTGATAGACTGCGATTGGAGGAGAGTGTGGATTGGGGCAGGATAAGGGAGTTAGAATCGGACCTTCGAATCGCTTGGACGAATGAGGAAATTTATTGGCATCAGAAATCGAGGGTGGGCTGGCTGCAGTTTGGAGATAAGAACACGTCCTACTTCCATCTGGTGACGCGCGCTCGCAGAAAGAGGAATTTTATTGCAGGGTTATTTGCGCCAGATGGGACGTGGGTGACGAACGAGGAAGGGAAGGCTGTAGTTGCCAGTGACTTTTATTCCTCATTATTCTCTACTGATGGGATGGATGCCGAGTTTGTCAAAGATCAGGTGATGGGGTTGCCGATTGAGGAAAAAGTGACAGCTGCAATGAACAATAAGTTATCGGCACCGGTGTCGCCGGCAGAAATCCGTACAGCTGTTTTCCAGATCGGGGCTACTCAGGCCCCTGGCTCTGATGGTTTTACTGGGGTCTTTTTTAGAAAGTTCTGGGATATAGTTGGGATGGATGTAACGGCAGCAGTGCTTCACTTTTTTGAATCTGGGAGCCTTTTGAAGAATTTTAATCATACTTGGCTGGTTTTAATTCCTAAAGTGGATAATGTTGAGCATATGAAGAAACTTCGCCCGATTAGTCTCTGCCAGTTTGTGTATAAGGTAGTATCGAGAATTTTGGCGGAGAGGCTAGCTCGCTACCTCACGACCATTGTTTCGCCTGGCCAAAATGGTTTTTTGCGTGGGAGGCAGATTGTCGATAACGTCCTCATTGGACATGAGGTCATGCATTATCTGCGGAATAAACGGGAGGGAAAACAAGGGTTTATGGCCTTGAAGGTTGATATGGAGAAGGCTTATGATAGGGTGGAATGGCCATTTTTATTCGCATTGCTTGAAAAACTTGGGTTTTGTGCGCAATGGATTAGATGGTTACGGGCTTGTGTTACGTCTTCAACCTTCTCGGTTATGATGAATGGATGTCCTTCTGGTTATTTTACGGCGTCTCGGGGCTTGCGATAGGGAGATCCGCTTTCTCCCCTATTGTTTGCATTGTGTACGGAAGGATTTGCTGCGCTTCTTTGTCAGGCTATTGTTAGACGGTCTTTAACAGGGATTCAGATAAGCCCTCACTGTCCTGTGGTGTCTCATTTATTTTTCGCAGATGATTCTTACCTGTTTCTGCGGGTTTCTGATTCGGAGTGTTCTAGTTTAAGAGAGATCTTGGCTAGATATGAGGCATTGAGTGGCCAGAAGGTGAATCTGGATAAGTCGGCTGTCTACTTTAGTAAGAATGTTAAGCAGCAAGAGAGGGAGCAACTTGGAGCCGTTCTTGGTGTGGGGACTGTGGGAGCCACTGATCAATACTTGGGCTTACCAGCTCTAGTTGGTAGATCTAAGATTGAGACGTTTCGCTATATTGAGGAGAGGGTTTTGAGCCGGCTGCAAGGGTGGAAAAGGCGGTGTCTATCATGGTCAGCGAGGGAGGTACTGCTGAAGGCGGTGGTGAATGCTTTGCCTATTCATGCGATGTCATGCTTTTGGTTGCCTGCCACTTTGTGTAGAGATTTGGATAGACATATTGCTAGATTCTGGTGGGGAGCTAAAGCGGGGGAGCAGAAAATTCATTGGGTCTCTTGGAAAACTCTCTGTCTGAGCAAGGCTGAGGGGGGAGTGGGGTTCTGACGATTTGAGGATTTCAACCAGGCCTTATTGGCTAAGTTGGGATGGCGCTTACTAACGAATCCTGATTGCATGCTTGCTCAAATCTTTAAAGGGAAGTATTATCCCCGATCTTCGTTCTTAGAGGCTACTACGGGGGCTCTTCCATCTTGGGGATGGCGTGGTATTTTACATGGTAGAGAGCTCCTTCAGCAGGGTTTGCGGTGGCAGGTTGGGTCTAGGGATATGATTTCCTTTGCGACTTCGGATTGGGTCCCTGCTTGTCACCCAAATCCTCCTGCTATGCATCCAGAGAGGGTGGGGGCCCAGGGGTTGGTTAAATCCTTGATATTGTGTCAGGATGGTAGGTGGAGGGAGGATTTGCTTAACCAGTTATTTGAATGGGACACTGTTGCTAAAATTCGGTCTATTCCTTTGCCAAGAGTTCCGATTCAGGATAGGCTGGTCTGGCATCATGAAATCTCGGGGTCATATTCTGTTCGGTCAGGATACCATCTTGCGGTAGGTCTGAGGCGGAGTCGAGAGATTCAGACTAAGTTGGGCCCTGCTATTTGTGATTCGGGTTTGTGGAGTAAGGTTTGGAGTGCCCTAGTGCCTCCCAAGTTTCAATTCTTCCTTTGGCAATTGCTGCGGAGAGTGGTTCCCACAGGTGAAGCTTTATCGGTTAGGGGTATGAAAGGGGTCCTTCTGTGCCCCACATGCTTATGGGAAGTGGAATCTGCTGAGCATCTGTTCTTTCATTGCCGGCTGGCTGAGGGTTGTTGGGAGGCGGCTGGGCTAGGTTTCCTTCGAGAAGAGTTCCCGACGGCCTCGGTTGAAGTCTTCTGGCGACGATTCCTTGACCAGCCAAATTTGGAGGGAGGATTGTTAATGCGAGTGATTGCCCTTTTTTGGCGCATATGGAAGGCTCGGAATTGGGTGGTATTTGATTCCACGTTGTTCACCCCGGCCGTGTTGCTCTCTCAGCTCAGACGGCAGGTGGCAGAATGGGAGGCGATGCCTTTGGTTGGTGGGTTAGCGTCTTTCCCTGCCTCTGGGGATGGCTGAGGGGGGGTCAAGGGGGGTGCATGGTCGGGAAGCGGCGTTGTGGGTGTTCACATATGGGGCTGTTCGTTCTAGCTCTCATGGTGCAGGTGGCTGGATTCTGGAGGATTCCTCGGGGACGCTGCTTGGGGCAGATGCATCAGTGTATCCGGATGTGCAAGATCCTTTCTTAGTGGAGCTCCTAGCCTTGAGGGACGGCATTCGGTGGGCGCTTGATAGGGGGGTGCAGGACGTCGTGTTTGCAGGTGATGCCAAGATGGTTCTTGACAAGGTGAAGGAGGGATCGTGTTTGGATGCTCGTGGTGGGGTAATTTTGGAGGAGATCAAGATTTTGAGGCAATGTTTACTCCAGTCTAGTGTTTGTTTTGTTGGACGTGCGCGTAATAGGGTGGCCCATATGGTGGCCAGAAAAGCCCTTTCTTTGTTCCCTAGTTTGATAGGGTTTGATTTTCATTCTTGGCTGTGGTCAGCTAATTGACATTAGTTTATCTTGATTATCTCGTTCAATACGAAGTATCTTTTGGAAAAAAAAAAGAGAAAGAGGAGAGATAATTCAAATTCACTCCACGTTTTGTAAAATGAGAGCATGAGACCATTAGTGTTTCCAATTGATCCATCAAAAGTAGGGATGGCAACAAAACCCGAACCCACGGGAACCCACCCGATCCAACCCGGTCAACGCGGGTAAAATCCGTGTTGACGGGTTTTGGGCCAGGTTTGCGTTTAAACTCGTTCACTATTCATCGTGATGGGTTGGGTTTGGGTTTAGGTAAACCCGGCCCATGGGTACTCGCCCACACCCATATAATTAATTTTCTCGGTATATTTAATATTCTAAACAACTAATCTTATTTATGTTTGTGGAGACATGTCTAATTTTTCTTTCTAATTGTGTAGAACGAAATTGATGTTATCGAGTGGAGAATGAAGAAACTTAATTGAAAGAAAGAAGTTTTCAATTAATCATGTTATTTATGGATAATTTATGATTTGCTTCAATTTTCTTGAGTTTTCTAGATTGGTGTTGAACCATTTGTATAGTTAATTTGTGATTTGCTTGAATTTCTAGAATGGTGTTTTATATATGAATAATTTGTATTGAGAGATTGATATTTGGTTTTAATTTTGATAGGAACTTGTTATTGTAAAAGTTTTACGACAAAAACCCGTGGGTACCTATGAACCCGCGGATACCCAGCGAGTTGGGTTGGGTTTGAGTTTTTCAAACCAAGTGGGTTTTACCCCGGGTTTTTTTATCACGGATAAACCCATGGGTTTGGGTTTGGCAAAACCCGACCCAACCCGACCCATTGCCATCCCTAATCAAAAGGAACCAAAATTCTGTACGGAGATTCTCGAGCCCATCATGTT